CATGGTAGTTGAAACAATTTTTAAACAAACCATTTCGTTTATTCCCATGGTGATTTTTTGCCAAAATGTGAAAGCATATAATATTCTGACCAAGGAGTGTTTTTAACAATGCAAAACCATGTCTTTTAATGATTGACATCGAATTTAGTCACTGCTGCATGGCAAGGGTCACGGCAGCAGTGTGATGTTTACCCCTGACTGCGGCCATTGGTCTCCCTATGTTTCCTTATGTTCTTGATGGTTGTCCTAGTAAGCTTACATGTGCTGAAATAACCGGTAACATTTACGTTTGTGTACGTCTACGGACAAAAAACAACCAAACATTATTTAAAGATGAAAAATATTTTAAATTACAGTAGAACTGGTAAACGACGGGCGTATGATCCCTTTGGTGCACTTCCGTTGGGTGATGGCTTTCCCACACCTGCACCCATTTTGGCCGGCAATTTTTCTAAAGCATCGTATTTTTAATAATTTTATTGTGGAAAATGTTTTGGTTGGAACACATGCCATGCCAGTGCCTTTCCCCGGGTCAGCCGCAAAAAACAATTACATCCGTTCCGCGCGGCCCTGTTCCGGAACGTTTACCGCCTGAGCACTAGGAAACAATAGGAAACACGTTCGACCCTGGTAAAAAAAAAACATGCGTCAATGATCAGCCAAAAAGGACTTTCCAATGTTCGTTCCACTGTGAAAATGAAATGCCCATTGGGTCCTACCTACCGGTTGGGCATAAATGTCAGGTTACTTGATTTGGTGCGCTTCAAGTTTGCAACCGCAGCCATCTTGATTTTCAAGTTTTCAAGCATTTGAAATCAGCGCAACAACCCGCCAATAGTCAAAACAACCCACACACTGTGTGACCATGTAACAATGGTTGGATTTTTGGTGGCATCAATGCAGTCAAAAATTGTTCTTCCAAATTTCATGATATTGTCAAACAGTGCTTAGAGCAAATGCATTGTTTTTATGTTTTTGGTATAGTTAAACAGTCATTTTCACAACATGCAAACGAAAAATGCCAAAGAGCATCCGGCACATTGCATGCCTGAAACCGCCAGGCTGGATTTGGCAAACATGACATGTGTTTTTGTTTGCATGGAGCGAAACCAGAAACAATTAGTTTGCATTTTTTTTAGCAAAATGAACGATGCCAGCCACATTACTTTCCATTCGCCAGGTGAAATTATGATGTTGTCGGCGTTTTTTCCCTTCCGCCTCCCGCCTCTTCTTTCTCCTCCTGATACGTGCATTTTGATCACCGGATCACCGTTGCATGTGCGTTCGTCGCAAAATCTATTCCAACAGTGAATTTCAGCGCGCACGATTCATCCATGCAGTCGGAAGACGGCATCCCGAACCGCAATGCGATTTTTTCTTTTAAACGTATATGACGCGTAGGACCGGCCATAGTACGCTGGAGTTCGTCGTGGTTGTTGTTGTTGTTGTTGTTGTTGTTGTTGTTGTTGTTGTTTGTTGTTGTCGTCGTGGTTGTTGTTGTTGTTGCTGTTGTTGTTGTTGTTGCTGTTGCTGTTGCTGATGCCACAATTACAACATGTTTTTTGTATAAAGACACATGGACAAAACATGAGAAAATATAAAATATGTTTATTCCCCACCTGGCAGGTGAGGGTTGTTAGATTTTACCAGAGCTGTTGTCCTCCGCCTCCTCCTCCTCCTCCTCCGCCTCCTCCAGTTTCTCCTCGACCATGTCTGCATCAACTTCCACCTCCACTTCCGCCTTGCCAACTCTTCGCCAAGCTCTTCGCCAACTTCCCAGCTCAGTGCGCACTGCTGGACCTCAACCTGGGACCTTCCCAGCTCAGTGCGCACCGTTGGACCTCAACCTGGGACCTTCCCAGCTCAGTGCGCACCGCTGGACCTCTCAACCTGGCACCTTCCCAGCTCAGTGCGCACCGCTGGACCTCAACCTGCCTTCCCAGCTCAGTGCGCACCGCTGGACCTCAACCTGGGACCTTCCCAGCTCAGTGCGCACCGCTGGACCTCAACTTCCGAGCTCAGTGCGCACCGCTGGACCTCAACGGCCAGATAGAATGCCAGAAGATATGCCAGATAGAACGCCCGATAGAATGTCAGAAAGAATGCGAGATAGAATGCCATAAGATATGCCAGATAGAGTGCCCGAAGATATGCCAGATAGAATGTTAGAAGTTATGCCAGATAGAATGCCAGAAGGTATGCCAGATAGAATGCCAGATAAAATGTCAGATAGAATGACAGAAGATATGCCAGATAAAGTGCCAGAATGTTTGCCAGATAGAATGCCAGAAGGTATGCCAGAACATATGCCAGAAGATACGCCAGGTAGAATGCCAGAAGATATGCCAGATAGAATGCCAGATTGAATGCCAGAAAATATGCCAGAACATCTGCCAGAAGATATGCCAGGTAGAATGCCAGAAGGTATGCCAGATAGAATGCCAGATAAAATGTCAGATAGAATGACAGAAGATTTGCCAGAAGTTATGCCAGATAGAACGCCAGATAGCATGTCAGATAGGATGCCAGAAGATATGCCAGATAGAATGCCAGAGGATTTGCCAGTAACAAAACGTATAAATGTCATGGTGGGGATCACACGAAGTAAAGTATTTTTTTAATTTGACTCTTGCACGGGGTTGCTAAAAACATGGGCCCTTGCGGCTGCGCGAGGCCTTATGTTTGCCCGTCTTTTTTGGCAGCACCCTGCGGCCGCGCATAGCTGGCAGTGGGCTGTGAGGGCCTTCGGTGTTGCCAAGCAAGTCAAGAAGCCACAGCCCTAGTGCCATGGTGGTCCGAAACAAGCAACATCAGATGCGGGAGATTAATGGAGATTGGTGGCAACTCGTTGTCCGATTATAAAATGGGTTCAGGTAAGGTACCCCTCTTGCATCCAATGGTTTCAAAACGTCTCAAGCGTCATGTTCGCCACTGAACTTGTGGTAAACTGGCACTAAGTCGCCAGTTTTTTGACAAACCATACCCCGTGCAGTTGGTTAGCTATAAATGTTCATTCTACCCCCTATTTTTTCTATCGTATCACCTGGTGAAATCGAATTGACATGGTTGACGCAGCTGCACTACTGGTTAAGGTTGCGCCTTACCGGTGTTGTCAAGCAAGCGTACCAGGAACAACCACCACCAAAACTGCCTAAGCAGGCTGCGTGAAGTTGTCTCGAGATTTTTCCCTCATTTTACGCCATCAAACATGGATAGTTTTTTTTCATCAATGACACCATGGTTTGGGGCAGTTTGTACTCATATTGTTGGGATATGTTGGGACTTTTTCCATGGAACAACACAGAAAGTTTATGGAGGTGCTAAGATGTGGAAATTGCGATGCGATGTCTTGTCGTGAGGGATTCATCGCAGTTTTTGGACAGGCTGTGAAGAGCTACGTCCAGGCACACCCGTCATGGTGAAGGCTACTGCTGTGAAGGCTACTGCTACTGCTACTGCTACTGCTGCTGCTGCTTGCTCCTGCTCCTGCTCCTACTACTACTGCTACTACTATTACTACTACGACTACTACTACGACTACGACTACGACTACTACTACTACTACTACTAGTACTACTACTACTACTGCTACTACTACTACTAATACTATGATATTTTTTTTTGATACGGATATTTTTTTTTGATCTAGGTTTGCAGCACGAAACCCGTGAGGTCTCACACAGTGGCACCTGGATATTTTTTTAGATGCATATATATAATTTTTGATGCGTGCTGGATATTTTTTTTTGATGCATTTATATTTTTTTGATACGTGTCTCTCAACTAAACCTCTTGACGCATCCAACGTTCGATGCCTCACCGTGGTTTTTCCGAAGCGCGGACATGTATTCGAATGTTTGTGAGTTTTTGTATGTTTTTGTGGGTTTGGGATTTGCTATCTTGGAGAAAATGTTGGCAAATGCATGCGCATCTATCCAAACAGCTGACGATGACGGATAGCAATAGGTGTGCCGACCCGTCCGCGTCGCTGCGATGAAGGATCTAAAGCGGCATGGCGCACAAAAGGCTAAGGCCATTGTGGCACAGCGACAAGGTCAACAGGACCAAAACGATGCCCAGATGCGGGTTCTACAAAAAATCACTATGAACAGTTCAGTTTGATGAATATATTGATTCGACATTTTGTCGAAAATCATGTGTTCAATATAATAGTTGTTCTTATTTTGCCTTTTTTGGGATCAAGCATCATATTATCATATTGTAACCATTGGCAAATCAAAGGTTGTTCCCATCCTCACTGCGTAACATTTGACCAGTCGTGCCATGTTCCCTTCGCCCCAGGACCCTTTCGCACTCACATCGGAGGAAAAAACTCGGCTTCTCGCGCCCAACGCTTAGAGACAGTACGCGGAAAATGCGCAGTGTTAGTAGATGAACTCCCAGTATTGTGATGGAATATGATGCAATATATTTTTTTTACTCTTATGGTATTGAGGTTAGAGAACTGGAGGGTATAGTCAATGACAAATTCCCTACTTCTTTTTCATGGTGTTTGGGCCGAATCAACTCCCAGTCACTTCGAGTAGCACTTGTAACTCACCATGGTTGAGGCACAGAATTCAGGAATTTGTTCAGGGTTCAGTGAATTGTTTGTTGCTGAAAATATGTTAGTGTTTCCAGGAGATCACTTGCAGGCGTTCAAGGCAATGCAGGCTGCAAAGACCCTGCTGACACAGAGATGTTGCCAGTCTGCAGGCGCTACCTTCCAGAGGAGGAAGATGCATCCAAGAAGCTACGCAAGAATAGTTTTCTCCTAAGTTCTTGGTGCTACCTGCTACCATATGCTACCCCTGTTGCTGGACATATGTTTTTCAGCATTGCTTCAATGAAGCGGCCTTATTTGAAAATCCGTGTTCCGGGCTGCGAGTCACCATTTTGTTTTTCAAATGTGGGCTGATGTCCTGATGTGCCAGAGGCAGGCGTCAAGGCAATGCTATTCTGCTGCCACTTGGGTGCCAGACATTCCGCGCTGATTCGCCATGTCCACTGCAGCCACACGGCGCTTGCACCGTGAGTTGCAACTGGTGCAACGGGAACCCAGCTGGGGGGTCTCCGCAGCCCCTCTGTCGGAGGACCTTTACACGTGGCATTGCAATGTGGCAGGCCAGCCACCAGCAGGTGGTGCACCGGTGATTCTTCACCTAGAGCTAACCTTCAGCGCAGAAGCTTGGCACCGACGCAAAATGCGACAATTTGTTGTGAAGTTCAGGTGCTTATTATATAGTATTTGGGAGGGGCTTGTTGCCAGCGCTGGAAAGTAGGCTTTCCTCATGTTCTTGTATCCTTTGGGAAATGGTCATAGTCAGATAGGATGGTTAAAAAGAGGAGGCCTGACCCAGAAAAAAACAAACATATTCGGCTGTAAAATGCACTCCTTTAGACCAATGGTAGTCATTAGGTTCAAAATGTGGCAAATTCCAAGAAGAAATTCCAACCTAGTAGAGAAAACAGGATATATCTCCAATTTGAAGCATTAGATGCAACAGAACATGTATGCAATAGAAAATGCAAAATTACAGTGGATAAGTTCAGGTCATGTATTTCTCATAGACAATAGTTATCCTTCTTTTTGTGTGGCAAGCATCATGAACATTGAATATATATATATAATATTGTTTTAAAACCTAGGGGTACGCTACTGTCATGTTTCCCTATAATTGTGGGACAATACCACATTCTTTTGAAAAAATGAGTCGTCTTTGAAACACAACCTTAATTCATCTACAAGGCCTATTTTCAGTGAGAAAATTAAGGAAATTCCCTGGTGTTTTCAAACAGGTGTGGAAGTACATAACAATGTTGAATGAGTTTGAGCTGCGCAGCGCAGCAGTTGACCAAAGAAAATGCAACACATTGAGCTAAAGGCAAAAATTGCAAAGAATATCAGGCAATGCAGTTGTTTTCACTTGCTTTCATTGCCCACAGAGAAATATCTGTATGTAGATGTATATAGACTATGCAGTTGTATGCCTGTGCTACATTCCCAGCAAACAATGCTTTGAAGAAATGAGGTTTTTCAAAGAAGTGCATTTTTCCTTACAAAGCATCCACTTCAACCAAACAGTTGTTGTTATTTGCAAGCTGGTGGTTGCTTTTGACTTGCGCTAGTCATTTTTTTCGGGAATATTTTTTTTTGTGAGGGTTGGATTCAGTCCAAGAAAAATATGTGTTATCTACGATGTGTATTGCGTTCTAAAGTGCAATATTCTCGTCTTTCCTTTATCATGGTAACATTCCTTCAAGCAGATGTTGTTTTCTTCAAAGATTGAATGCTTAACTTAAAGTTGCAATCGTATTTAAACAGTTTAGTTTATAAATATCAGAAACAATATTGTGTCAAAATATGCACTGTGTCCATTAAAGATGTAACATTCCTCGCAAAGAAGCTCAGCTGGCCTTTATGTTTGAAAGTAGCACCATTTCTTGAAAGAAAAAAAGTACCACTCCTTTCAAAGAAACCCAGCTTCCATCTGTGGAAGGAACAACATTGTTTGAAGGAACGGTTTTACTCACCAAAATTGAACCAGCTGCATTTTTTGAAAGTTACACTATGATTTGAAAATATGTAACAATCCTTTCAATCACACCATTTCTGTCTAAATACTGTATGTAACACTCCTGTCAAAGAACTCCAGCTGCCTCTGCTGGGACAGGAACACCATTTATTTGAAGGAACGGTTTCTTTCACCAAAGACATACCTTTTTATCCCCAAAGGCTTCACACGTGAAAAGGAAAATTGCACATCCCCAAGGAATACTGCGCATGTTTAGCATACAAAAAATTGTTAAGTAATGACTTCACAAGAATGCCTTGGGGGCAAGATTGATCAGATTTGGTCTGGATTAATCTCGATTAATCGTAAGAATCAAAAACCCAAAGAAACCAAAAAAAAACAAACAAAAAAAAAACAATGTTTTCCAGCCTGGTCTGAACATGCCTAGATCCAAGTAGTCCCAAAAACATTGTTTTATTTTTGTTTGTTTTGTTTTGTTTGGGGGGGTTGGGTGATTAACCACTCTAAGTTCTATTTCCCCTAGAAAAGGCTTATGTATGGACAGCAAAAGGCCAATATGGTTTTAGATTTTTTTAGATCATGTAATGTATTTTGGGAACAATTGCCTTTTGCGCGCCCACAACAAGATACAACAAGCCTGTCTGCATTTCTAATAGAAAAGGCTTGTGCATGGACAACACATATAAGATCATAGATCATATAATATATCGACAAAAAACAACGAATATATTATATACAAACAATTGGTGATATCAGCGCTGGCAAAAAGCCTTTCTGGTGTATTTATAATATCTTATTGCTGGATTATTACCCGGGTGGTTTCACATGTTGTTTTTTTCTGGTCGTCACAATTCCACCCGGAATGAGCCAGAGCTTTATTGATGTATATTTGTAAATCATTAGCTAGTTGGGCGACTCATGCGCCCGTTTGTTTCTCAGCTGATTGGATTTGTTGATTGCTTAACATAGCGCAGGTTTCTTCCGACATAAGGAAGTTGATTTCTTAGCCGCCCACCCTGATCTTTGGAGTAGTCCTCGGATTTGTGTTCATCCTCAACTCACTTTGGACGAGCACACGCAGGGGGGAACTTCAAGCAGCCTGCTCAATACCCTCGTCATTACTTGATGCCAAGGAATATCCTGTACGACCTCCCCGGGTGGAAGTGCTTGGAAGTACCGTCACGCATCCCAATGTATTTTCAACCTTCATTTGCTTGGACATGCTGGAGGGAGGGGAGTGGGCATCAGATGAAGAGCCACTTAGATGCATCTTAAAAGCCGGTATGGAGACATGGATATGGGTGGTATGGTTCAAAGTGTTAGGCCCAGGCATCAGCAGATTGACTATAGTCATGTGGTATAGTGCTTTTTGCATTCATGTAAATCAAACACCCACCCGCCATGTTCTTGGCACCCAAGATTTCTCCAGTCCCAAATCTATCACGCGACAGTCTGTGCCAGTGGGGTTTGACTTGGTGACAAACGGTTGTGCCGTTTGAAGTGCAACGGCGCGACATTTGTTTTTTTCAGGAAACGCCGGCCATATATGGGTTGGAGCTCGGCATACAGTATCCTGGCGATCCTTCGGCAGCTGCAAACCTTCTTCTTTGAGGGGGATGGCACTCAGTGGTGGAAGTGTCAACTCTGTCCCCTGGATTTTGCTGAGCCGTTCCTGTTTGAATTTCCTCAAGTGTTTCATCCCAAATACCATTGATACAACGTTTCTAATTACACATTTGTTTGACTGCGGGGGTGGCCCCAGAAGCAAACCTAATCGGTGGTTTCCAAAAAGTAATACAACACACATGTACAATCATGTACATATACATATGTACTAATCGAATCCTTTTTATATATATATATATATATACCGTGTGTATATATATATATATGTAGTTTAATATGATACTAGTTTTTATATGTACAATATTATATAGTATCATTAAAACATATAATATTATATTTATATAACAATGCATTATCATGAGGTACAATATTAAATATTGTAATATGATGATATATGCCACTTCCATCCCCAATGCTATTTCAACCCATTTCCATCCCCACTATTCAGAGCATCTCCAGTTATAATACGTTCCAAGGTACCCTCCACAATCCCATGAAGAACAAACGCTGCGAAGCCTGCGACACCACACGTGGTGCCCGCGATGCCACACGACCCTCACGTTGCCGAGGGGGGTTCCAGGGGAGCGGGGTGTGGTGGGTATAGGAATAGCACCGATTTGCACGGTCATATGGCAACCCTAAACAAAGATTTACAAATAAGATCTTACAAAAAATGTGGTGAATGAATGAAATTCCCGTTTTTAATCCTTTTGGCTTGAGTATGCACCAGGGCATGCCTCCGGGCTGCAATTTGTTGGGACCTTTTTCTTTATATTTCTGTTCACAAGATCTCACACCTCAGGGGTATGGAAGCCCGAGGCATAGCAGTGGAGCAAGGACATTTGATGATGCTGCTTCGTTCCCTGACTTAGGCCATTGGCATCAATGTGGAGCACACTCCACATTTCCAATGCCGCTGCGGACACCAACCATGTGGTCCCCACTGGCCACCTTTTCCTCAAAGTGTGGAATGTGATGATGCCCCAGTCGCCAACGTTTTGCCTGAGGACCGGCTGTGGACAGGTAGGTAATGGTAGGTAGTTGTTTCTGGGGCAACCCTTTGAGCACAAAGTTCTCACAGACATTGTCTTTTTTCCTTATGTTTGTCGCATCATGGCGCCCATGGTCATGTGACCTTACCTACACCGATTACAATAGCCTCCTAATGTGGTAAGCCCAAGCGTAAACCATCCCCAAAATTTAGACGGGTGGCAAATATCATCCCCAAATGGCAGGTTTATGGCCTTGGGATGCCTTGGGTTTACCACATTACTCAATTTCCATCGGAAACCATCCGCACTCTCCAGGCATGCCTCGAGAACTCGTGCGTTATTTGCCTTGGGCACTTGGACGATGATGCGCGCGGTGCGCTGAAAGGAGCACCAGCAGCGCGACCGTTGGCACAATTAGTGGACCGAGAGGGGCAGCTGCTTCGCTGTTGAGATGGGATGGGGTGAGTATCAAAGAAGTTGGGGGCAAAAAGATTGGGGCACCTTGGATGGGCACTTTCGTATTTCAGTCTTTTGTTGTAACTGGGGATTTATACCCACCAGCCCCCCAAAAAAAAGACATGTTAGATTTTGGGGTGTCTAAGATTGGCCGAGCGCGCGAGTGGTTCCACTTGAAACATGTGAGGTGCGTTGCAAGCCAAATGAGTCCTACATGCCCCGATATAATAGGTGACATTAGGTGACCAAAGATATCTAAGAGAGTTGACAGGTGATTAAATCTGACAACCTGGAAGTTCGCGTGGTTGCCATGTAATTACAGTGACATGGCATGCAAATAGATGAAGAATGTTCAGCCGTAGCTTGATTGAGGCCTTGGACACAGATCGCGACACATTGCAATCATGGTCGCAATCATGACACTAGTGGTGGCCATGGATTGATGCTAGTCTCATGCTATGCTGGTTGTGGTCCCAGTCCTGATCATGCTCATGGTGACCCATGGTGGTAGTGCTCTCATCTTATTGTTGAATGTCAAGGACGATGATGGGGACACAGGAACGCCATGCCAGCTACAGAATAGTTCAATGAAATCATGAAATCTAAGGTTGACCTGCAAGCATTTCTTTCATTTGCCTTGCGCCCAGCAGCTCAAGTCCAACTTTTGCCCTCTGTGCCGCTCACCTTTCGCACGGGTGGCTGCTTTGCCAGAGCCTTGGCGGCACGATGCGGCACGATGCGACGCGTGGGCCATGTTGGTTGCACCTTTACTGACAAGTGATGGCAAGTGGAACTCAGGGCGCAGACGATTACTCACAAAAAATGTGTGTTTTTTCCTGCAGTTGCATCAGCTGAGCTGTTTCTATCCTCTTCGGTTCTACTCGTTGCGTTGTTAAGGACCAGCAGACGGTCAGACGAGCAGCGAAGAGCGAACTGAGTCCCGAACCTTTGTGCCAAAAAGCTTTGGAACAAATGGCACGCTTCGCGGGCTGGCCCTTGGGAATAGTGATTCAGTTGTCGCTCGACTTAGCTTAGTTCTTATGTGCAAAGATTTTTTTAAAATGATGAGAATCAAGAATGTTGAGGCTGGATACGCCTAACTTCCCTCACCTTGCATCTCGTAATTAATCTGAACAATTTCTTTAAAAAAAGTTTTTACAGTTCTTTGCAGCCGAAACCTAGCCATCCTTTGGATCCCGTCCCAAGGATGTCCTTTCTCCGGCGTCACGAACGTGTTTGCCTCTCCTTCGCCGTCCCTGCTTGGCAGGAAGCCGCCGCAGCCCCGCTGTTTTGGGAGGCGCAAGAGGTGCAGTGCTTCCATGAAAAGATGCCTGGCTGATGCTGTTTGCTCCATGATTTTCGGGAGGATTTTGCAAACAGTCCATGAGGAGGTTTAATCTAGGTTAAGCTGCCACTTGGCCATCATCATCATCATCATCATCACCATCACCATCACCATCATCATCATCACCATCATCATCATCACCATCATTATCATCATCATCATCATAATCATCAAAAATTATCATAGTGTGTGTTTGTATGCACATGCTTCTTTTCGCCAACCAGACATATTGGGTGGTCAATGTTGTGCGATATGATTTCATATGGTTTAAGTACAACTTTTTGCCAAAAAATATTGAGGGTTCCTGAAATATTGTTATATAACATGGTTTGTTTGACCACAACTTTGTGTCTGTATATACATTTATAAGTACATGTTGAGTGGGTTTTGAATGTGTTTTACTTGCTAGTCCTGACAAAAAAAATGTTATTCCCAAAGAAATCCACGATATGAACGTAAGAATATGTAACATGTATATTTTTGCATATCCCATTTGTTTGTTATGGCTGCCAGCTCCCCAGCTGCACCAGGACGGGCCCCAACGAGGACGTCATCGGCATTGGCGTCTTGGCGCAGGGCCGCGGGCGCCTGGCCACGTTGACGGCACATTTCGATGCCATCTCTCGCACGGCCTGGCAGGGTGGCCTAAGGAAGGCGGCCTGGAAGGAGCCCTTGAGTGACTGGCTATGACTGGCTGTTGGTTAAGGGCTGAGGTGCTCCAAAAGTTTTTGGTTGCCGTCGCTAATGTGTTTTTTTTTGCTTGTTCATGAGAATTATTGGCCAAAAGAGACGTGCTAATTATTATAATTACGTGGTATGATTTTTTGGGATTTACTGAATTGTGTTTGGTGGTATCCTGACGGTATCCTGACTCTGCTTAGATTTGAAGCACTGATTCGATACTATTTGGGGACGAAATGAAGTTGGCATGTTTTTTTTTTTGCATTTTTTTGGTCATCCAAGCTCCCTTCCTTGGTTTTTGCAGCTAAATAAATCTCTCATTTGCTGCAGTTTGTAGCTAAAATCTCTCATTCGCACTGTTCATCAATTTTTCCACTGGTTTCAGGATTTTTTCCATTGTTTTTTATCGAGTTGTCCATCGTTTTCATTGGTTTGTCCATATTTTCTTCAATTTTTCCATGGTGTTCTTCGATTTTTCCATGATTTCTTCAATTGTTGTATGGTGTTCTTCGATTGTTCCATGGTGTTCTTCCATTTTTCATTGTTTTTCTTCAATTGTTCTATGTTTTTCTTCAATTTGTGCATGGTTTCATTCAGTTTTCACGTTTTTTCATTGATTGTTCCAGAGTTTTCATTAATTTTTACATGGTTTTCATTGTCCATATTATTTTCCCATGAATTTATCCATGATTTGGCGAATCTACTTGGAAGATGTTTAATATTTGGCCCTCTTAAGGGGGTACTTGTTTTGGGACCCTAAAATATCGAGATGCAGTACACGCTAAACCTGGGTTTCTGGTTTCTGCGTGGGTGTCTTGCTGCTAGTGTGAAGGGATGAATGCGATAGTGACATTTCTGTGAAAACCATTCAAATGGGCTCTTTGTTTTCTGAAAACTCCAAGTGGGATAGGTGTGTGTGCAGGTTCAATGTTGGTGATGCACGCATCTAAGTTATAAGTTCTATGCCGGCCCCTTGGGTGATCTTATTGGATATTCATTGCTTTTACTACTGAAGTTTCACGAAGCTGCTTCCAAGGCCACTGGTTGCCATTATTCATCCATGAGCAGCACTCTAGGGCTGCCGCCGAACTTCTCTCGGAATGTTTGCGCTCGTTGGCCGATTCTTGCAGTCAAGAGCAGCTTGGCAAGTCATGGCCATTGATGTCTGCTTTTATTGATGACCACCGGATCACAATTATGTGTGGCCATTTTATGCAATTTTGCGTTTCTTAGTGCGTGTATTGTGACATGTCTTCCGGATTAGTTCGCAGGACAAAAAGGCCGCTGAATTCGAAAACTCAGCACTGACGGTCAGAGTCACAACTACATTTGTGGCTTTGTAATGGACCTGAGGCAAGACTCCCACATTCCTCCATTAGTTTTCCAAACGTTGGAGGGCAGAGCACCTGCTGCTGTGGATGCCATCGTAGCTTTTCCGGAGATGATGCACCAATTGATGAAGCAGGTTTTGTACGGTGATCGTCATGCTTCCCTTAAGCTCTTGAAGGGTTACTTTGTGACCTGCCTCAACTCTGCACATTTTCACTAGCAGTTTCTTAGATTCGTTTGCAATTCAATTTTTGGCCCCTGTTTTTTTTTCATGGTAAAGACATGACTTGTTGCCGGTCTTCCTTGTTTCAAAGCTGGGAGGTGATGCACCGACTGTTCCTGCACTGCTGCGATCAGTGGCCAGAAATTCGGGTGGCAGCTGACTTGGCCTTGCAGCAATTTCTCAGGTCTGAGGAGGGTCGCACCAAGCAATCCACGCCTTGGTTGGCTTATATTTTGTGGCTTGAACATTGATGGGTTTGTGTTGGTTGATTTGTGTTGATTGGTTGATTGTTGGTTTGGTGACTTAACAAATGATGTGCTTGGTTTGTGTTTGATGTTTTGATTTTCCGTAGAGCACCTTTAAGCAGATCCGTCAAATCCATCCAAGGCAACTGCTGACCATCTCAAATGTGGGATGGGATGATGTGAAGAAACCGTTCCTGGAGGAAGCTTTGGCCCGCGAGGTTCAGTTCATCTTGCCTCGCTATCCCAAATATTGCCCCACCCTGCCAGAGGAAGAGACACAGGCAGGACCATGGTCAACCTTGCTCAAGTGTTGTGCATACAGTGTTTTGAGCTGTTTTGAACCATACGTTCATGCGAAATATGTGTATATATATATATTATGGTTGCATTTATTTATGCATCTCTCTCTATATACATATATATGTATATTATAGATATAGATATCATATGCATGTGTGTGGTCATATATATATAGATATATAGATACACACACACACATATATATATATAGATATAGAATTATATATGCATGTATATATCCAATCTCATCCCATGAAACACAGCAATTCCATGGTCTTCGAATCTCGCCAGGCGGCGCCGGAACTTCCCAGCGAGTGGACCATCACGGATCAGATCCCCGGCTCGGACCAGCTGTCGGCCTCCAGGGCCACGGAACTCTCACGACACAGCATTCGTGGAGCAGAGCGTGCCACGTTGAAAAACCGGGGGAAGAGTGAAAGTGGGTCTTTCCCAAGGAAATACCTATGAAATCCCATGATATCCTATTTCAAGAATATTGAAAAAATGCGTTTTCCCTGTGATAAATAGTGATTTACCTGTGACAAATGGATACAAATGGTGTTTTACCTGTGAAAATGATATAAAACATGGCCATTGAATAGGGATGATGATAAGCCAGTTGGATTTAGGGTAACCTATTTTCAGACAGATTTGCTTGAGAATGTTCCATTTGCAAGTCGGATCGTTCACACAATAGCATCCAAAAAAAATGCTTTCAGGTGAATGGAACCACCAACAAACACCTGAAAATGACGAGTTTGTTGTGAGCAGCGCGTTTTTTTAGGGGCGTCCCTTTTCCCAAGCTGCTCGATTGACTCGCTTTCTTTTGTGAAACACTTGGTCATAGCGGTCATAGCAAGGCTTGACTAGTTGCTAGTCCCCATCCCGGTCTTCTACATGGGCGATGGATCATGATGGATTATATTTTTCTTGGTCGGTTCTATTGTAGTGAATTGATGTTGTGAAATGTTGTGAAGACTATTGAAGACTGATGAAACACGATACCCTCTGGTAGTCAGTCACACGGCTAGCTTGAAAATTCACATTGTTTGTTGATGATTTTCCCATCTCAGACCTATGTTAAAAACAATTGGTGGATTATGGTGGGTTTATAGATGATTACCCTCCAGTAATCAAACATGGTTCGCTGGAACATGGCTGGAATGTTCCCCTTTTTTGTCGGTTGGATTTCAATGAAAAGCTCCATTGACTTCTGGGATTTCCCAGCCATGGTTCCAGGTGGATGGACCTGCATCTCTGGGGTGGCTCGTGGTACAGGTGGGGTGGTTCAGCTGGTTGGGCGATTACTTGTTCGGACTTCTCTGACCTGCAAACATAGACCAACAAATATATGATCATATGCATATGATATTGCATGACATTGCATCACATTACATGTTTACCCTGCTGGTCGCAGAGTGTTTCAAATAGGATTGACTGGATATGACTGGATCTCGAGATACCCCGATCTTGTCCCGGACAGGATCCAGCGCATTCTCTGTGCAGATTCGCAGCATGCCAGCGGACAGCGCTATCCGCATTGGATGGGTTTCTGGAGAGGGCGACCTGTTGGTGGGACAATCTTCAGAAGCATGGGGCTATCACGCCTCCCGCAGCTATGGCAGGGAGCTCAGCGAGAGATGAACTTGTTTTTTTTAGGTACCAAATTTGGACACACGCCCATACCATATGTTTGAACGTCTCTAAAATTGTTTGAAGGCTTTGGAGCCCATGATGATGCGGTAGGTACAATGTGATCCAAACATTGGAAGGGGGGATACTTTCAACATCCTGCAACCTTGGTGCATGGCATGACCATGGCATGACGCCACAGGCCATTTTGGCTGGAAAGCCCATGGAGGTCGATGGACACGCTATGGCCCACCCTTTGAAGAGGGAGACACCATCACTGCAGTGGTGCAAGAGGGAGAGATCTCATTTATGCGAAATGGTCAGCCGTTAGGCTGGTGTACTGCAAGTGGTTTCTCCGAAAAAGTGGGCAAGGTTTGTGTCGAGAGAAATCGCTTGTGGACAAACCCATTTACCTCACTGTTGGTCAATACATGTATTATGTTAATGTTGGTTATATGCCCATTGTTTTCATACTATAATATCTCCATCATGTTATATCACTATTATGCCATTACTCACCAACAAATTTGGGTCAGACAGACCGAAAGATCGTGTGATTGTACATACGCTCTGGTAATTTGACATTGCCATGGAAAATGAATCCATTTGCAGATTATTTACCTAATAAACATTGCAATTTTCAGTGGCAAGACCGGGTGGTATTCCATCTTATTATATAAGATACATTTCTATCCCCTGCATATCGGCAGTTTTTGATATTTTTTGTTTATATATAGGGTTTTCATGGGTTTTCCCATTGAAAGCTCCATTAAACCATTATATTTCCATATTGTATCTCCAGTAAGCCATATCTTTGTAGGGTTTTGCCATACTTCTTGACTCAGTGGACGCCTGCAGGCGTTGCCTTCAAGGTCCATAGCCATCAGCTGCCGAAAGACGCCTCTGGCTTTCGTCCAGCGGTGGCAGTGCGTCGAGCTGCGGAAGTTCATTTGAGCCACGGGCTGCGATGTTCGAAAGGGTGGTGTCAATGATCATGCGATACAGCTATAATCAACTATATGTATATAGCTCGGACAACTCCTACGTGGTGCGCGCACGATCAACTATATGTACATACATATTGTATATATACACATTATATTATTGTCTAAGGTTAAGGCTAACCAATTAAATTGTAATTATCAATTATAACCCAATCTGGGGATAAACATTCATGTGCGAGTTGTTTTGGTGTGAAGAGCAAGGCACCAGGGTTTTCACGCATTGTCAAAACAGATGGACCGGAGGGGGGCCTGCAGAATGTGGTGTTAGACTGATGCTGGGTCAACCTTGCGCGGATAGGACCTAGGACTTTACATCATTTGTTGCTACAATTTTGGGCTTGTACTAACAACCAAAGCATCTATTTTTGCAGGGCATCTACAATTGGCAATGGATGTAACTAATTTCATAAGACTGATGATCGAGATAGTGACGCTATAATTGTGGTGGTTTCAAACGGTCTGCATTCGGAAAAAGAAGACCTCAATGACTCGAATGTTTGGGATGGATTGAAACCACCAACCATGTCCAAATCGATGATGATGTTAGTTTTTGCACATTGATGCCTGCAGAAGCCACACTGTGCAGGTGCTTGGAGGTAAAATTTTGTGAACCAGCAGTTACTTTTTCAACTGCTATCTTTAAAAACAAATGAATGAAATGACCAGTAGGATTTGTTTTGTAACCACCGACCCGAAATACACCATGGAATGCTACCCCATTTATACGAAGGATTTTTTCCCCACAATCTCCAAAGATAGGGAAATTGACACTACTGTTGGCAGCCGCAACATAAGGATAGCTGAAGCTCCAGAGATGCAGTTGAGCTTCAGCCCCGAAGAGCAAAGGGATGTGGCGTGGGATGCCAATCGCCGTGGCAACACTCTGATCATGTCGCTTGCAACCAGCGCAGATTGGGGGTGATTGGAGCAGATGGTGGGGTAGCACAGGGCCTGGTTGGTATGGTGGTATCCAGTTTTTCGGGGTCAGGATTGCATGTACAACATTGTACTGTTCTAGAATCATGTGCTGCTTTTTTTGGTGGTTCCCCTGGCAAGACTCCAGGTAAGAAACCCCAAATGCTGGAGGTTTGAAGGTGCCGTGGTTGTTTTTGTTCGGACACGTGATTGCAACTTCTGACGCGACCAATCAGGTTCCAAGTGTTCTTCCTCTCGTTGGTTCGACCGAAGGGTGGCATGCAAGACTGGTCTGCCCTGAAAGAGGAGTACGACAAGCGCTACGGCTTTCCAGCGCCGGAGATGTCAGCAGCTCTCTTCGAAATGTTCAGTGCCTTGCATTTGCCAGAGATGCCCACCTTGAAATGGGATGAGCCACCAAAAAGTCACAGAAATTCTATGAAATTATCTTACTCTTCATGCCGGCTTATTTGCATCTGGCTTGATCTGCTCATACCAACGAAAGTAAACCCTCTCCATTTGCACTGACATGTAGTTTTTTGTGCCTTCAGCTGCGCCATGTGACACTCGCTGATTGGAAAGTTGGTGTAAAAACCGATCGACCAGGGTTTATGGCAGATGTATCTACACTTCAATTATGTTGAATGAGCTTGAAAATCAACAAACATTACTCACTCCAATGATGACGAATGAAGCTGTAAACCAACATGACTGAGAGGGTCCATTCACCAACAGGTGAAGTCCATCAGATTCGCGAGCTGCCTGGACACGTTGCGTGGCGAAAATTCCTAGACCTCATTGGCTTTCCAGACCTTGGAACGGAGGAGCTTCAGGTACTGCTGCGCCAGGGCTACGAACGTGCCAAGACGATGGGCTACAAGCAGGGAGGCAGACGTGACCATGCGTGAGGTCCTGGAAGTGGAATCCAGTGGATGTTGGCTGCCCATGATGGTAGGAATTTTAATGATACTTTTTGTGTCAAAACATATCTTTTAAGAGTTACAGGCTGGAAGTTTCACAGCACCAGCCTACCCAGCTTTGAAAAAGATGTACAGTGTACAGACCCGCTGGAGGCCCGAGAAGTTCTCGAGTCATGGAAAAGTGCCAGAAACTGTCCGTGTTGCGACTGGTGCACACAATGGTTCCAAAATTGTTCAAAATGTCTAAGAAGGTGCTCTTTTCTAGGTTGTTTGGTCATGCAATCATATCATGTCATACGGATTTGGTTGCAGATCGATTCCCAATCTTGGTTTCAGGCAATATTACCGCAACCGCCCATATTTATGGAGCAACGTGTGCTGCAAACATGGTTGAAACAGTTTCACCGCTTCACCATGCTTCACCTGTAGATTTCCCAACAAAACTCTTCCATTAATGGCCAAAAACATCAGGCCGTGGCACCTGCAGTCGTGCCATGCCGTGCCATGCCCCCAGGCCACAAGTGGCTGTGGCGCTTCATGCGGCGCCGCGACTTTGGCCGATTTGAGGCCTGTTTGGATGCCATGTGGGGAGACCTAGCGGCCAGATGTGGGGGTGTCATGAGCTGGGCCGGTGGTGAAATCATAGAAATAATTAGAAATTATCATCTGTGAGGGAAAAACCTATTTTGAAAACCTCATGGTTCCCGTTTGGAAAAGGATTTTAATGATCTAGAAAATCCCCCCCTTTAACCCTGGAATATTTTTTTGGGGGTAAGACAAAAAAAATCTGAGAAATAGCTCACCTGACCACATGAAATATACCCCCCCACATGTTTTTTTTGGCTTCCAAAAGAAGTGGGGGGGGTCCTCCGGAAGCCACATTTTAGCCCAGAGATGGTATGGTACACCCTTTCATTCTTGACATTTGGAAGTAGCTTCCACCAGACACTGGAGAGAGTGAACTTGCTAAACAGCCTTCAGAGCTTGACGTTCAGCCCTGAATTCAACCAGGCCCTGGAGAGACCATTATAAACCAGTTTTTTTTTAGCTGAAATATTTTTCTAGGTGTGGGGGGGCGGACATCCCCCTTTTTGAAATATTTCAGCTTTTTCTCCCCCCACCCATCCCCACCCCCCCCTAAAGGGGGGGGATTCTAAGAAATTGTATGTTACAGGAGGGTAAAGCAACCGTAAATTGCGGATATCATGGGGGAGATTTCGGAGATATAACCAACAACATGTTGGAATGCAACCAGCAATGTAATTATGGGATATATGGTTTGTTCAGGAATGGAGGATGGCCAGGAGATTAACCCGGTATACAACCCAGGGCGCACTGGCAATGAGGAATATCCAAACACATCCCAGATATGGGATTTGGAACGTGGTATGCAATACCCCCAAATGGCAATTTGATGCATTTTGAAGATTACAAAAAGTGAAGAATCATTTGTCAACTGTGGTGCAACCATGTGCAACCTTATTTTTCTGAGAAATCCTTAGCCATCAGCCCATCATCATAACTCGGATGGTGATCCCAGACTTTTTGGATCGCCATGGCAGGCAAAATCGAGGCATTGCCTTCGACGAGGCCACTTTGTCTGTGCTCGCCGCATGGTGATCTGCGATGATCCTGGCCGCAGGTGACCTACAACTTTGCCATGTACGGTGTACTCTTGAATAAGAAGCAAGATGATGAGCTCGCTCGGCAGGCCGGCACCATGGGCACCATGGGCACCATGGGCTGGGGTCAGTGACAGGTCATGTGGATAGATGTGGATTAGATGTGGATAGATGTGGATAGCCTGAAGCATGACCAGCTTAGAATTTGCGACTGCTCCAGGTCCTTCTGGACATGGAAGAAGAGGGGCGCTTTCACCCCGCACTACTCAGACTCCAGCGAGGCAGGCCGGAGCAGTTAGTTTTAAAGCGAAATACTAGGGAAAATCCATAGGATTTTGGGGTGCCTTGTTTCAGCCACAGCCATATGATCATATGGAGGTCTCGGAGATTCCACCACAGCATGCAACAAATGGTCAGGTCATAATGAGAGATACCGGGTGATCGGGCCCTTTGAGAAAGCAGATCGCCTGTTAGGCTGAATGCAATTTTCTTCATTTCTTCGCTTGACTTCTCAGACAAGCAAGGGGATAAGAAGTTTGCACAACAATTCCTCAAGCTTTGGAGATAGACTGAGAGTGATTCATGCAGCCATCAGCGGCCATGGTCTACATTGATTTACCTCAAGGGATTAAATTCAAAAACTGCTGTAATAACTATCAATAAATTGTATGAAACAATACAAACCCACCTGGGCCAACCATCATTGGTCCATGAGGTTTCTTGGAGTCCTACTTCGAGTTGAAGGCGGTGGAGGCTACCCCGAATCGTTGGAACTTACTGAAGGCTGGTGCGGGCAGGTGAGACATCAAGAAATAGCGTTTCCCCTCGAAAGAATGGGTGGAACACTATGGAAAAAGTAGAGAATCTCCGAAAACAAAAATTCAAGAGATGGGATTAGAAGATGCTGATTTCCGCTTGGACATTGCCAGTTCTTGGTTCAATCCTGAAATATTTCGAACAGCCAATGCCTCTCAGAGCTCCCCGTGGCATCCAGAGGTGACGCGAACCTTCTGGCAGATCTCTGTGAATTTTAAACGGCAGCGCCCTGAACACCGAGTTGGGGCCATTGAGTTTGAGTTAGCCATAATTGATCACAGTTGCACAGAAGGAGTTACATATATATATATAATTATATATATATGCACATCTTTATTTGATTGTCATATATCCATATATGTTATTTAGCCATGGATGGTCCATTTTCATAGCGATTTTTTACCATCCCGAAGGAAGCGTGTCAAAGATACACGTGCTGGGCTGGCAGCAGGGCGCCCCAGGTAGTGGATCCTTGTTTTAGACCCTAGAGCGGGGACAGGATCGATGATGGTTTAGTTGATCTATGGCACGATGATCTATGCTGATGTATGATTATTATCTTGGTTACGATAACCTATGGCATTATCTATGGCATCTTTGATCATGATTATCATCTTTGCATTTATGATGATCTATTGCAAGTTTATTTATGACGATCTTTGATGACCAAAGTTGACAGTTTATCCCTGGTTGTGGATGTGACTTGGGGAATGTAAGCAGGAAACCTTAATGCCGTAATGCATCCAGCATAAACCCGGCAAGACAAAACAAGCTTTAGGATGTTCTAAGATTTGGGACCATGGCTTTTTGGGCTTCAGCTTGACGCGGCAGATGGGGAAAAGCCGCGGCGCGCGATCTCGCGGGGGTGCAGAGATGGCCAAATAGGCTGTCCCATGTCCTGGAGCAAAGGATGGAAGCTCTGCAAAGTGGTCATAGTGTTTTGTTCAAGCTGGGGTTGCGCTTGCTGATCGTCGAGTACCAAAAAACAATGTACATGTTAGTTAGATTACATTACTGACCAATAGGTTCTTACCCATCGTTTACAGTATTCACGTTAAATCCGCATCTTTGGACATTTTAGACATCAGAGGTGGGGATGTGCATTGTGTTTTCCCGTGGTTTAGAGGTTAAGCTGTGGATGTTCATGTTTTTCTTTGGTGACTTTCCACGATTGTCCCCTATTTTTTTGCATCATCTTACTGGTGCTTTTTTCGTAGGGACATGTAAGAACGGGGGGATGATCCAATCCACAACTATCATCCCATTCTCCCATTCTCCCATTCCCTACTAAGCACCAGTCATTTGCTGAGGAACAATCCAAATCCTGGCGTCGCAGCGCCACTGGGGTCCAACCCTTTCGCCCCTGCGCCTGTGGGACAAGCTGCTGGCGCTGGCGCTGGCGCTGCGCGGGCTGGGGTGCCGGATGAAGCAGCCACGGGTCCCATGTTGGGCAAAGGTTCGGAGCTGGAGAAGGCTCCAAGCTCCTGGGGATATATTGGATTTCTATGTATTACAATAGGTGAAAATTATCCACAAATGGAATATCTAATGATGATAATGATGTCAATATCATGGAGAAAATGGCAATATGACCAATCATGTGATATTTGGTTTTGTTTGAACATGGCGGATTCCCAACAATTGCAATTCCTATAGGGAAACAAGAAAAGTATGATAATCGATTGAATGTTGACCAACACCTATCAAAATCTGTTGTGAGACCCCTGAAACTGACAGATCTTGTTCATACGTTTTTCATCGAGAGGGCAAGCCGGTCTGGATCCATAAGAACTTATTCAAGCATTCAGACATCGTTTTGAACCTCCCCCTGCCAACTGAAAGTTGTGATTTCAAAGACCGCCTTCTGTCCGAGCCTTAACCAATTTTAAACATACCCAGTATGAGCGGAAAAAGATGCAGCAAAATAGGGCGGGTGTTCACTTTGCCGTTTTTCTAGCGCCTGGCACCTGTGTGAAGTGCTTTGCAGTGCGCCCATTGTTCATGTGGGCTGCGAAAGAAATCCAATCAAAAAACGTGTAGTTAGTTTCCTCACAATCACTGAAAGTATGTATCAGCAGCCATCCCAGCTTTGGTTCGTAGGTCTACTACATGCCGCACAACATGGGTCACAATGATGGTGTGAACTGCATGATCATGGCAGAGGGGAAGATTTTCTCTGGCGGCCGTGATGAAAATCTGTTTGTGTGGCGGCCCGAGCGCAGTCCTTCAGGGGAGATGCAGTGACTTGGTATGTCTTACAATTACGGCCCGGCGGCCTGGTTGTTTCCATTGAAAATCTATAAGCGACAACTTGGATGATAACATGATAACTTGGGGTCCCCCAGTTGAGGAAACCCCCCTTCTGGCGTGTTGCGCTTTCCGTTTCGCTCCCATAGGCCCATCAACAGAGATGAAAATGCTCGCAGATATCTTGAAGGAAAGTGAAATTAAACTGCAAGATGGTTTCAAACTTGGCACATCTTTGCTGGCTAAATGTGGCCAAATAAATGAATAATTAACCGAGCCTATGGCTCTTTTGGACTATTCCTCAAGTTTGTCATTGCCATGTTGGCAAAATGGGTTGAGCACTGGGCAGATTGACCCACCTGAGGTTGGTACAGGACTGCCCTGAGATTCGCTTGGGCTCCAGTATCACTTCTCTCTGCTACGAGGCGTCCTCCACATGGCTCTTCTGTGGCCTTTGGAGTGGGGCCATCCGAGCTTTCTGCAAGCAACCCGTGACTAGGCGTTTTTGAGGCTGTGAAGTACTCATGTTGTAGAATGCCATAGAGATCTTTTAGGATTATTTATTTAGGATCACTCAGCTTTTTTTGCACCTTGCACCTTGGGATCCTAGAACTCCCCTATAGTCTCTCCAACTGCCCTATCGCCCTGCTGAGGTAAAGGATGAGCAGCTCCTAGGACACAAACGATCAGTGACCTGCCTCCAGGTTCACAGTTCCGTTCTGATCTCCGGCTCCAACGAAGGCACCGTGCGGCTCTGGACCATTGGTCCCACCGGAAGCTTCCAATGCCATGGACAGCCGCTCACCAATCCTTCGGGTCGGATGCCAAGATGGGCTGGTCAGTGGGTCTGGTGCGGTTTGTTGTGACATCATTGAAGAACTTCAAGTGGGAGGGTGGACAAATCAAGCTCCTGGGTCCCAAATACAACTTGCCTGACGCAGTTCAAATTCCTCCAATCCATATACCCCATCCGCGCTTCTACCCCAAATTCATAACAGTCTAATAATTCAACCTATCATACTGTATGTGGTCTGGGCTATTATCCCAACTGCGTCATTGGCCCCTCAAACAAAAAACAACATACAATGCAGTAATCAATGATTACAAGCCAATACAACATAGACAACTACAAAATATTTTAACAACCAAAACAGAAAAGAACAAACCAAGCAACAAACAACAAAAAAGGCAAAACAATAGACATAACTAAATATAATTCTTTGAACCTAACCATAGAACGTTTTTGCATGCCCCCGACCCCACAGCATACACAACAAATTACCACAGCAAACGCACCAAGCAAATTCAGAACAGGCACAACACATACAACAGCATTTTAACAAAAGACGGGAAACATAATTCAATACAACATCAACAAAGCATCCAGCAGAACAGCATTACTGCAAGTAATCCTTAACATTATCACCAATGCGTGGGTGGATATATGAATGGGGGAATTTGAACTGCGGCATTGGCCCAGTGTAAGTATATACACTGTGTGGTTGTTTCAACTTATGTTTATTTTCAACCCAATCAAGGATGGTGTGCGATTATGACCTCTAATATTCTTTAATTGATTGCGTTTTAAAGATGGGTTGAAACCACCAAACAGCATGGATGTATTCGATATTAGTTTTCCCTCCTATCTTAGCTGCCTTGTTTCTCGTTTCGCAAGGTCCTGTGAATTGCCTGCGGGTCTTCAACGGGGCCTTGTGGGTCGGTGGCCAGCAGGGTATCACCTGCTTTGATTTGGAGTCTCTACAAGCGCGGGGGACCATCGCCTCGCAGCATCCAATTACAGGACGGCTAGCGGCAAACCTGTTTTTTGGATATGGAAACTGAGATGCAGATGAACAGACCACGTCTACTATGTAAGAGGGGTAGCTCGAGGGTAGGTCTCATGGAATTTTCATAAATGTGAGCCAGCGCCCTTCGCCGAGTCTTGTGAGACTTGCAGTTCTCGTGGACAGGACTGCTGCAGTTTGAGAATTTCATGATCGCTACCTTTCGCAATGGCGAAGTGAGCATTTATGATGCCTCAGGGGCACAGGTGGGAGGACGTTTCAAAACGTAAGTTTTCTCAGAAACTTCTGAGGCGCATGCTGTTTGGCCCGGCCCACCCGAAAATAGCTCCACGCACTAGACTAGTCCAAATCCGTCATGATGGTCACAGTTTGATGGTGAAGGATTCAAGCCAGCTGGCAGGCTGGAAGTCCCTCTTTTTAGAATGTTTCGACTTTCTTTTATATTGACATTGATCGGAAAGGGTGCCTTGAAACCTGAAACCCACAGGGATCCTATAGGCAAGATCATGTACCATCAACTTGCCGGCTCCTTCTGAAAATCTCTGGAACTGCCGCCAGATCTTCAACCGCCAACCGATGGGAGAGCACACCTCTAATACTGCAGTGCAGCTGATGATGCACCCAGTGGCCAACAAGCCGATGCTGCTGTGTGGCCAGACCTTGGGTTTCTTGATGGCCAGGATGGGGGTTTTGGATGTGGATGGTGCTCCTCCCAGCCACATGTTGATAGCCTCGACGCATTGACCTTCAAATTTTGGAGTACCCAAACATATTCAAACCATCTCAAACCGTATATTGTGAAGAATAGACCGCCCGGACCAAGGGAGTTCAGTTTCACGATTTTCCCGTCTGGTCACTCTCAGCTTTCGAGGCTACATCACTGCGTATGACTTGCCGGAGTTTCGACCTCGCGGTAGTTTTTGCTGCAAGGACAGATCAGATGTGAAAGCCATCGTGGATGCTCAAAGTGAGGGACTTTTCCTCACCGCTGGCCTCCACGGCGTGTCGTGGCAGCAATGCTGCAGCTGCAACTCTCTATGTTTTGATCCCCCAATGCTGGAAGATGCTGGAAGTATAGTTTGCCAATGTATGGCGTAGAACTGGATAACATTGGATAACTATGTTCTGGCAAGTTTCACACACATGTGAACAGATAGCATTACTATGATGTATGACTGTACCGTACTGTAGAGGCATATGAAAATATATGTAACAATTGTTTATATGTATTCATGAGGGTCGTTCTAAACCCCATGCAAGTTTTTTAGTACCCAAGTGACAGCTGCCGATATGGACGTGTGTTTTACGGCAGTCGCGAAAGCAGCGATAGCGCAGCGATAGCGCAGCGAAAGGTATGGCGAAAGGTCTAGATACCAATATATTAGATGTATACATTCACGCTTGGCAGTTACGCTTGGCAGTTACGCTTGCTTTCATGAAAACGTTGTGGCACACATGGAACGAGAGTATTGGGAGTTTGTCTCAGGAACAGGTTTTAATTAATCTTACAAACCCGCCCAGCAAAGAAACAGAATTTCATTCTGAAAATTGTTATCGTAGGCGTGAAATCCACGGAAGGTTCGCGAAAGGGTGGCAAAAGGCGAGTCTGCCAGGATCCCACCCTGGCCAAAAATTGTCTAGTTTGTCTTGCAATGTTGAAACTTCGACCCCTTCAAAGTCGTTTCAACTTGTGCTTCCGTCCTCGGGCAATCTGTAAAACAACTTGGTCTAATGCTTCCATTTCCATTGCAATTCCCATGTAGGCCTTTGGTAAAACATGCGAACGAATACATTAACGCCTCCTTGTCTCAAGTCTAGTTAGGCGCGAAACGGCGCGAAAAGCGCGGCGAATTTGAACAACTCCCATGTGTCAATATCTATGTTCGGGATGTATTTATATACATATAATCTTTACATACATAGATATATATATATATATATGTGTGTGTGTGCGCGTGTGTTTTTAAGTTTTTATGTGTATAATTATTGACATGTACGTGTGTGTGTGTGTGTGTGCCTGAGTGCTGCACGTGTGTAACCTCCACGCCCTCCACACTACCCAAAATTCATATACTGCCTATAGCGTACTCCGAGCATGACTTACTACCCATTGTATACCCACATGCTACGCACCGCTACCTATACATGATTCAAAGTCTGCACCCACAAACCTATTTGACACCTAAATACACCCACCAACATTACATACCTATGTGTGTAGTTATGTACATTGCCTCTTCACTACCTATAACTACCTATACGCCTATACTCCAAAAATCATATACATACATACCACCACCACCGCCCACAAAAAATACACGGGGGAGGCATACTACCTATACATGTTTCATAGCGTACCTATATACGACTCATTGGATAGCGTGCTCATACATACATACATACATGCATGCATACATCCATACATACATACATACAGACAGACAGACATGCAGACATGCAGACATGCAGACATGCAGACATGCAGACAGGCAGACAGGCAGACAGGCAGACAGGCAGACAGGCAGACAGGCAGACAGGCAGACAGGCAGACAGGCAGACAGGCAGACAGGCAGACATACAGACAGGTAGACATACAGACATACAGACATACAGACATACAGACAGACGACAGGCAGACATACATACATTACATACATTACATGCATTACATACATTACATGCATTACATACATTACATGCATTACATGCATTACCTGCATTACATACATTACATACATTACATACATTAATTACTTTTCATTACATTACATTACATTACATTACATACATTACATACATACATTACATACACTACATACATTACATACATTACATACATTACATTTCATTTCGTTTCGTTTCGTTTCGTTCCATTTCATTACATTACATTAATTACATTGCATACACACATACACACATACATACATACATACATACATACATACATACATACATACATACATACATACAGACATACTCCCCGTACACTCCTTAAACGACCCCCATATACTCCCTATAAACTGAACACCAACCACTTGTAGCTGCAGAAACGCCCACCCCAGCTGAGGATATCATCATTTGGCGGTGGACCCAGGGTGGCCCCCAGACTTCTGTGAGCCCCTTTGCGCCGTCCCCCTTTGGTGCTCCTGGCGGGATGCCTGGAATGCCCGCAACGGCTCAACCTTGCGGGGGGATGATGATGTAATGGGAGAGAAAAGACCTTGCAGCCTTGCCTGGTTGACAACCCAAAAATGAGATAAAATGAGGAGATACCATGGGATAATCGATCACAGTCTAAAAATGCATCAAGACGGCCGGTGGTTCCAAAGGGTCGGTGCCTGATGTTTTTGACCATGTAGCTGGCCGACGTTGTTGAAAATCATGGTTAGTAGGTGGGTGGAATCATCCCGAACTGAGCTGAGTGTGCTTCAGGCTTGTGCCTTAGCGGGACCAATGGGATTACATCGAGTAACTTAGAAGAATGGGGACATGGCCAGCGATGATGGTGCTATTCACGGTATGATATAATTTCGTTGTATATATATATATATCGGACGGGCCGATGGTTTTATGTATTTCTAACTTCCCTCTTTTTGGGGGTGGATGGTGTCTGAGCTTCTACGGCCTCACACCCACGGCTTCATCAAATCTTCCAATCTTAGCCGTTCACCTGTGTGCGTCTGGCATCAAGTGATATCAAGTGGGTTGGTCGTTTCAAATACGGTTTCGGTCTTAAGAGTCTTATCATGATGATCAGCAATTGACATCCAGGAGAATTCTTGACAATTTTCCTTAGTTGCTGTTGGTTTCCATCCCATACGGGTTGTTAAAAACCCAACATTCTTTGTCAAGCATGGTTTATCCATTTCTTTTATCCCAGGACAATCCTCAAATCCCTGGATACCCATATAAACCTTGTACCTCCGGGATCCTGAAGGTATGTTATACAGTGTTAATTGATTTAAACTTGTGATATAGGTATAGCCATTACATACCCAAATGTTTCTATATGTTGTTTGTTCATGTTTGTTCCTTATATTCCTTATGGGTATCCCCATGGCGGGCAGAACCTTCTCGCCGCGCTCAGGCTGCTGCATCTGAACAGCGAGCAAGATTGGCTGCCAGCGGCGAGCTGGTTGAGGCGAGCTGACGACTGGAGTCGCTAGATGTGTTCAGTATTGATCAATGTGGAAAGCCACATAGCATAGAAGCCAACCTCACGGAAAAAATGATATATAGAAATAGAATTGCTTCCTTGTGGGAATTGCCTCTAGACCATTTTGGGAGCAAATGATGGTATAATGACGGTATATGGGAGGGATTAATGGTGGAATGATTGGATAATGGAATTGAAAAACCAATCAAGGACTTCCATCTTGACCCATTCTCAGCTCAGGTATGTTCAGCTGCCTCTTGGTTGATTGAGTTGATTGATAATCTGCATTGATGATGATGGCCTGTGGTCGCAAAACTTCAATCCAAATCGCAATTCACCAGTGGCTGTTCTTTGCCGGTCTCTGGCACTTATTCTTGAAAGGTCTGTTTTGGAGTATTTCGGGCCTTGAGTGAGTCAAATTGCAAGCATTGTATGATAGGCCTTCTTTGCTTAGAGGTCAATTTTCTCCGCTAAGATTGGATTTGAGTCCGATTTGAGCATGAAATCACATTACCTTCTAAATTTAAGATTTCCATTCAGAATGGATCCAGTGCCAGGCCCCATGGCTGGCTGAAGCACGGAAGCTGAGAAAGAGAGGTTAAAAATGCAAAATTTCGCATGCCCGCCAAACCGGTGCATGCATATACGCGCACACGCACATGCATGGACATGAATGGATATGTTTATTTTGCGATTTTTTAGGACCAATTTGATATCCCTGAGGCTTCGGACGATGAGCTCAGAGACGAAGAGCCGGGCCCCAGGGTGAAATTTCCTGCGCGCCGTCCGTGGGCGCCTCAGCTCACCCATTGTGATGTTTTCCCATATGGGATGGATGACCACGTATGCCTATTTTGACCTTAGCACGGATGATATTTGTCCAAGAATCATGAACAAAATATTGGTAGATTATGGAAAAGCATGTGGAGAGAGTTACATATTGCATATATATATAATATACACATCTTTGTACTGAGGCGTTCCCCTACAATAACCCTATATACATCTATATACGTTCTCCTATGTCAACCATATGATGACGCAGTCACAAAGGAAATATCCATGAATATCGCCAGTTAGATAACATATATTAGATATGTAAATAGCGCATATACATATATATATATATGTGTGTGTGTGCGTGCGCGCGTGCTTATTACAAAGCGCTAACTGGGATGCATACCCAAG